CTGGGAAAGGCCTCCTCACATAAATATGTAGTGGGGGATTGAACTTGGTCTTGGTGCTCTGAATGTCTCACTTCTGGGTGCTCACTTCTCCCATGTAACCAAAAGTCTTAAGTTACAACTGAATGAAACTTGACCTCAGTGAAGTGTCACATTAAAGTTTAAGACTTTACTTCAGGTTAATCTTTTACATTATCAACATAATATGTATTCCTGATCCACTTCTTATTGGCATCTGGAAGAGGAACATTATCCCTAAAACTCTTGTTCAAACCTTGCATGTCTAAGTTCAGGGTCACGGATTCCACTTCAACTTCTGCTTTAAAAAAAATAGTTACAGCTCACCCTTCTAGGCTGAAATTTATGTCATTTAAATTCGTAAAAAACTGTGAGGAATAGCCGCCGCCATAGCTAGCCTCGGAAAGTTATTGAACCACTCACTAGCTATTCAATGTTTTATCTTGAAGAAATAATCGTATTTCATCATTCAAATATGACAGTAAATATTTTACCGCGAGACAACCAACGCATTTGAGAATACAAGAGCAAGTGTCCACGGGCACTGCCCATCTCCTCACAAGAGCAGATGTCCACGGGCACTGCCCATCTCCTCACAAGAGCAGGTGTCCACGGGCACTGCCCATCTCCTCACAAGAGCAGGTGTCCACGGGCACTGCCCATCTCCTCACAAAAGCAGGTGTCCACGGGCACTGCCCATCTCCTCACAAGAGCAGGTGTCCACGGGCACTGCCCATCTCCTCACAAGAGCAGGTGTCCACGGGCACTGCCCATCTCCTCACAAGAGCAAGTGTCCACGGGCACTGCCCATCTCCTCACAAGAGCAGGTGTCCACGGGCACTGCCCATCTCCTCACAAGAGCAAGTGTCCACGGGCACTGCCCATCTCCTCACAAGAGCAAGTGTCCACGGGCACTGCCCATCTCCTCACAAGAGCAAGTGTCCCCGGGCACTGCCCATCTCCTCACAAGAGCAGGTGTCCACGGGCACTGCCCATCTCCTCACAAGAGCAGGTGTCCACGGGCACTGCCCATCTCCTCACAAGAGCAGGTGTCCACGGGCACTGCCCATCTCCTCACAAGAGCAAGTGTCCATGGTCACTGTCCATCTCCTCACAAAGAACACTAAAAATACGGGAATGTAAAGGATGAACTTTTTATAAAAATAACAACTTTCACTGCCTTACCCTGTGTCGTGTTCAGTGTTCCTGGCACCTTTCATGCTGCCAGTGGTTCTCTGTGTATGGAACAATGAGTCCATTTCAGAGTTGGAACTGCAACTCGAGTACTTGTCTCCAGTCCTCTGTACTTTCCTGACATTGCAGGAGCCCCATGAGTACTGACATTGCAAGATCCCCATAAGTACTGACATTGCAGGAGCCCCATGAGTACTGACATTGCAGGAGCCCCATGAGTACTGACATTGCAGGAGCCCCCCCTGGAAACACAAACCGAAACTGTCTCTATTTTCCGCTTGTAACAACTTGAAATAAAGTTGCTACATCTTGGCTTAACGTGTTTATGACGTATTAGAACGTTGTTACAACTTGCTATATTGGTTGTTATAACTGGTTAGGTGGTGTTAAAACTTGCTCGAACGTTGTACCAACGTCGTAGTTTCGGTGTGTGTTTGGTGGGCCATGAGTACTGACATTGCAGGAGCCCCATGAGTACTGACATTGCAGGAGCCCCATGAGTACTGACATATACATACTAGAGCAACCTTGGAGCATATTCACACTAGAGCAACCTTAGAACCTATACACACTAGAGTAACCCTGGAACATATACATACTAGAGCAACCTTGGAACATATTCATACTAGATGAACCCTGAAACATATACACACTAGAGCAATCCTGAAACATGTACACACTAGAGCAACCTTGGAACACATACACACTAGAGCAACCCTGAAACATATACACACTAGAGCAACTCCAGACACTAACATAAACAAAATTAGTGTCATGACAGGTTCCTAAAATCAACGAATAACCTTCGTAATTCGTGACAGATCAAGAGATCAAAATGAGAGAAAGATTCACATCATGAGGGAAGGCTAAAGGTAACTTGGTATTAATTTGTTTGTATTACGTATCAATAATTTAATCGACGGAATATTAGACTATATATACCCTTTACTGATGATGATGCCACGGTATTGAGATAAATAAGAGATCAAAAAGATTTCATGAGGATGTTCATCTTTGAGGAAAGTTGACTTATGGAATTCAAGACAGAGGTGCCTTGTAAATATAAATGTGTAGAGTACAAAATGGAATGTATGAACGTAATACCTTGTGAACCAATTATTCAAGATATCTGAAGAAACACAAAACACCATAAGTACATATATATATATATATATATATATATATATATATATATATATATATATATATATATATATATATATATATATATATATATATATATATATATATATATATATATATATAATCACACACACACACACACACACACACACACACACACACACACACACACACACACACACGTTCATACATAATGTAGCTCACTAACTGTGCTTAATGCTAGGCTCTCCCAGCCCCGTCCACAGAGACCACCACCACCTGCAGCAGCTCTATTCTCTCTAATATGCCAAGTGGCGCCCTTTGTCTCCCGGCCTCCCCCAGGGTCGAGGCGGGTGGAGCGACGCCCGACACACCGACACAGCGTGGGTGGAGGTGAGGCTCCGGGACGTTAACGACAACCCGCCGCAGTTCAGCCGCCCGCACGCCCACGTCACCGTCAGGGAGGACACCGCCCCCGGCACCCTCCTCGCCTCCCTTCCCGCCGTCGACCCAGATATGGTTAGTGTTAAAGAATGGTTAGTAAGCCGAGGACATTACTTTTCTCAGTTTTAGGTACTATAGTCACCCATTGTCTCCTGCGTCCTCCCCCGTGGCCTGGGTTTCCTCCCTCGCCCTACTATCGTGACCTGCACTTCCCCTTTTCAGCAAAGCCTCATCCTTCTGGCGGAAGACGCGACAAGAGCGATAATTGGGTGGTGGTGTTGGAGAGTCACACATACCAAGCCCATCACACACATCCTTCCTCTCTCTCTCTCTCTCTCTCTCTTGATCTCTCTCTCTTTCTCTCTGTCTCTCTCTCTCTCCTTTATCTTTCTGTGTGTAATTACCTAAGTGAAGTTACAGGATGAGAGCTACGCTCGTGGTGTCCCGTCTTCCCAGTACTCTTTGTCGTATAACGCTTTGAAACTACTGACAAAAGTTTGACTACTGACACACACACTTTGAAAGTATTTGTGTGTGTGTGTGTCTATTTCACCTATCTCACCCAATTTTTTTTTAAAACAATATTACCTTTACAAAATTAGCATCAGTCAATTTACGGACAAATTTCCCAAGATGCCAAACCAAAATAGGTTATAAATAGGAGAAAGACACTACACTGTTCCTTACATTTTTTCTTCACTTGAGAAGGAAATTGAAAAATCAACTCTTCAAAGTTAATTTTTACAGTTATATTTGAGCAGAGGCTAAGAGATTGGTTTCGTTAACTCTTGTTAACATTGTCAAAGGTTGAGTTCGAATGATTACAAATTGATGATTGATTTATTCCCGAGGATGATTTGCAGGTGCAGCACGATGGCTGGGGGCAGTATGTTGTGTGTTCCGTCGTGTTCTGGACCATAGCAGAGTGTAATGTGGTGCCAGTTGGCTATTGTTATGTGGCCTGGGTTGCTTGATGTATAGTGCTTCGTCCATGTCCAGTCTTCTGTTGTCGCTATATCTGTCGACACACACACACACAGGATAGACAGGAGACATTGAACTACAGGCCAGTGTCCATAACCTGCATATCATGCAAGCTGATGGCGAAGATTGTGCGAAGAAAGCTAGTGGAACATCTGGAGCGAAGGAACTTTGTAACACAGCATCAACATCGGTTCAGGGATAACAGGTCCTGCCTCACAGGGTTACTTGAATTCTACGACCAGGCAACAAAAACAACCCGTTATCGCAAATTCGTAAAGTCAATATTGACTTATTAACTACGTGCATAGGTGATATACTAAACATAATAGATACCCCTAAAAAGATTCATAGAAAACACCGACCTTACCTAACCTTGTTAGTATCTTAAGATAAGCATCTTATTGCTTCGTAATTACAATTATTACTTAACCTATACCTATTATAGGTTAAGTAATAATTGTAATTACGAAGCAATAAGATGCTTATCTTAAGATACTAACAAGGTTAGGTAAGGTCGGTGTTTTCTATGAATCTTTTTAAGGGTATCTATTATGTTAAGTATGTCACCTATGCACATATTTAATAAGTCAATATTGACTTATTAAATTTGCGAGAACGGGTTGCACAAAAATCAGTCAAGAAAGAGAAGGGTGGGCAGACTGCATATTTTTGGATTGCCAGAAAGCCTTTGATACAGTACCTCACAAGAGGTTAGTGAAAAAGCTGGAGATGCAGGCTGGAGTGAAAGGGAAGGTACTCCATTGGATAAAGGACTCTTGTGTGGAGTCCCCATCTATAAAATACTCAAGGGAATTGGCAAAGTAGAAATAGATGAAATGTTCACACGTAATATTAACAGAACGAGGGGACATGGGTGGAAGCTTGAAACTCAGATGAGTCACAGAGATGTTAGGAAGTTTTCTTTTAGCGTGAAAGCACTGAAAAAATGGGATGCACTTAAGTAGCAGGTTATGGAAGCAAACTCTATTCATACTTTTAAAACTAGATATGATAGGGAAATGGGACATAAGTCATTGCTGTAAACAACCGATGGCTAGAAAGGCGGGATCCAAGAGTCAGTACTCGATCCTGTAGGCACAAATAGGTGAGTACATACACACACACACTCACTATTATTATTAAATTATTATTATTACATGTATGAATCTGTACACCAGTTGATTGACAGTTGAGAGGTGGGACGAAAAAGCCGAAGCTCAACCCCCTGCAAGCACAACAAGGTGAGCACACACATACATTCAACACATTCAATGTACTTGAACCATATTTATTTGTTTCAGATGGAGGAGCAGGTTGTGGAGTACCGTGTGGTGGGGGGTTGGGGAGTGGTGACAGTTGATGGTGTGGGGGGAGTGAGGTTGTGGCGCGCCCTGGACCGTGAGTCTCCTGGAGGGGAGGTGGGCGTGGCGCGGGTGGTAGCCGTGGATGATGGCCGCCCATCCCTCTCCTCCACCGCCACCCTCACCATCACCCTCACCGACGTCAACGACTGTCCGCCCCGGCTCCTACCCCCCACCGTCCTCCACGTCACAGAGGGAGCTCCTGCCTCTCTCCTGGGAATCCTCACAGCTACTGACGATGATGTCTGGGCGCTGGGGCACGGCCCGCCCTTCACCTTCACCCTGGCACCCTCCAACCCCGCCCACGTCCTCAACATCCTCAACATCAGCTCCCAGGCAGGTGAGTCCCAGCCACTCCCCCCCCCCCCCCCCCCCCCCCCCCCCCCCCATCCTCAACATCAGCAGATGAATGCGGATTCATTTGTTTAAACTTCAAAGAAATTCCGAGGAGTCTGTTGTATTTTCTGGCTTGTGTTGCATTATTTTTAGCCAGACTGACGTGTGTCTTATTGTTTCACTCTGTGTCGTTTTTGTCATTTTTTTAACCTGAGTTCTTTGAACCGTTTTAACAGTTGGCATTTTTTACTGAAAAACTCTTATATTTATTTTTAGTTTCGGTGCTGTTTGTCTGCCTAAAATTAACTTTTTGATGGTTTACATTGATTACAGAAATATTGTTTTCTTATTGGTCAGTTAAACGACGATTTGAGTAGGATCATTGATACACATTTATCTCACTAATACCTTATTAATATCCCATTATATCAATAAAGACACTGTACCTCACCTCTTTCCTGTCTGTTATCGGGAGAGGGTGGGGGATTTAAACCTCAAAAGAGAGCTGCAGACAGTCTGGAGCAACAGTCTGTTGCACCAGACTGTTACTTTCATACAGGCGGACAGCGTCCCCAACCACTCCCTGACAGAATAAACAGCCGACCTCGGGAGCCACACTCCCACTACCGTCGGTCGACCAGCAATTGACACTGGAGTGCTTGGAATTCACCTAGGAGACCACCCTGTACGCCTCTTGATCTTGGAGAGAGGTTCAGCATCACCTATTTAGGGGTGCGGCTCCCAAACTGGCCTCGTTGTCTTGTGTACACACCCTACTCGAGCCGCCGTGGCTCCCCACTCTCTCCTTGTTTGGGATGATCTCCTAAATCCCCCCCCCCCTTTTGTGAATTAGTGTCTACTGTCTCCTTATCTGCAGCCGTGACACTCTGAGAGAGATACTATATATCCACACCACTGAACTGTAAATCCATCCTTCTGAAGATGTATTATTAAATACGGAAGTTCTTAAGGCAATTCCTGTCTTAATTCTTCCTCCGTGGTTTGACACTGTCACATTGTTCATCACATGTTAATTTCTTCGTGACTTACACACACACACACACACACACACACACACACACACACACACACACACACACACACACACACACACACACACACACACACACAGTATATAACTTTTTCCAAGGGCAAGTGTTCATGTTGTCTTTAAGGGTTTTGCGGGATGATATAAGGATGATCTAATCCCATACATGTGTGTGTGTGTGTGGACAGGCCTGGACAGTGGGCGTGGCGGGGCGGAGGTGTGGACAGTGGGGCCACTAGACAGAGAGGAGCACCGTCAGCTGAGAGCGGAGGTGGTGGTGGCAGACGCTGGGGGCCTGGCCGCCACTCACCCCATCACCATCGTCGTCGATGATGTCAACGACAACCCCATGAAACCGGGGTTTAAAACTGTATATTTGTGGAAAACGCAGGTACGTCATACTGACCTTCTCGGAGTGAATCCTAAAGCACTGTGTAACCCGCTGCGTGATGCAGGTGTCAAAGTGCTATATCTTCATATCTTCATGACTATATCTTCAACTTCATGCAAATATCTTTGTAGCGTCCAAGATTTTTTAGCAACATTTGTTTATTTTTTCATCTTCGTGAAGTATTTTTAATACCATTTGACGTTTTAACTTTATGTAAAGAATATTCCTACATTTCAATAGATTCAACCAACATTGAAATGGCTTTAAGGTTTTTTTTTTGTAATCTTAATTTCCATCGTTATTGGTGTGGGTAGAGTGTAATGCACTCACTACAGCCACCGACACAAACTAAATCAAATCAAATAAAGCTTAAGTACTTCACTTTATTTAATTTTGTTCAGCTTTATATATAAAATATAACTGTGTTGATGAAATAGTATTTAAACTTTGAGTAATTAGATAATTAGATTCTAACAAACTTTGTCAGACGGGAGGTGCGGATGCTGCCCTGGGCAGAGTGTACGTGGAGGACCCGGATGACTGGGATCTCCAGGATAAAACATTTGCCTGGGCCGGACCTCCCCATCCACTCTTCACCCTCCAACCCAACACCGGCCATATATTTGCCTCTAAACAGCTTAGGGAAGGAAGGTAAGACTGCCTACCATCATAAATATTTGCAATATTTATATCTCCAGCGTATTGCATCTGATTTTATATAACCAAAATCAACTGTAGCAAACTCATCATTGACGTCAAATTATTTTCCCGAACAAATGCACAAAGAAAGACTCGAGTCTTTACTGAGGAATTGTTACTGCATCATAGATATTTTTTCCGTTCATTAAAAACATAAAAATGACACTTGCTTTATAATAATTACACAGCCGTCTTATAAAGAGCGTGAAGTCTTCACCTCTGTTCTCCCAGTAGTAATTTGGGACCTGGTTGTAAAGCTAGTGGCGGATGATGTTGCAGGTATGAGCTGCGCTTCACAGTATCAGACCGAGTGTGGGCCCAGCAGGACGTGTCGGCCAATGTGACAGTGGCGGTGAGGTACCTGTCACCGGAGGCTCTCACACACGCTGTTCCCGTCACCCTCACGCCCACCACGCCCACAACCCTCACCGCTGGATGGACGCCCATGGTAACTTTCTCCTGGTACCGGTACTGGTTGGTAGCCTGTGTGTATAGAGTAGCAGTACTCGTCAGTAGTCTACACGTAGGATACTGGCTTAGCTGATGACACTATTGGCTAGACACTCTCTCACCTGATAATTAATTACCTTACCTTGCAGAGTGGCGGCGGGGGCCTGGGTACACTGACGAAGGCGGTGATGCAAGTGGTGGGTGAAGGAGCAGAGAGTGTGGAGGTTGTGAGCGTGTATGGTCTCCACAGCACCTCACAGTCTGCTGCTGTGTCTGCCAGCAGCGCTGCTCACACCTCTCCTTCTCCAGTGCCGTATGTGTGTGTTTGGGTCAGTGTAAGGCTCGCAGGCCGCAGCTTCATGGATCCAGTCAAGTTGCATGGGCTGCTGGCACTCCACTTGCAGCGAGTGAGTAATAAGCGGTTCAACTCCGGCCACGATTTATCAAGATTTATGCAACCACTTGCGAAACCTTTACATCTTTCCTTACATCTGTACATTATTTCGGCTTTGTTTTCATTTATTAAACAGTTTACGAGCTACGAAATTGTACGCTCATGGTTACTATAGTTATAAACAACCTCGTAGTACTTTGACGCTCATAAATTGTTTAATAAGTGTAAACAAAGCTACAATGATTGACTAAGTAGATTATAAATGATGGTGAGGTCCCCGTGGCCTACATTGACATAAGTACATATATATTAAATACTTCTGTATTTAATACAGAATAATTCTGTATTCAGCCTTTGTAGTTAGGCAGAGGTATTATATTTTCCTGAAAGCACTTGCATTCAATTGCTAAAAATGAGAACACTATATTGTATAAGTCCGCTTAGCAATTCCATTAATTCCATATTCATATTTAACATTTGTTATGTGTTAAAGAATACATCTCAGATTTAAGACACTTATATTCTTTGTTTAGTCACTTAGGCAAAACTGATTTGCAATTAATAATTAATTTATCCTTTGCCATAACAATAGGTTTTTGCTAATCTTTGATATTCCATCATAATTGTTAATACCTTATTCTCCAAATCATCTAACCCTTATACTATGGACCTTAATCCTCGGGTCTTCAAGTGTGATTAGGATTTTGGTGAGTAACGAATTAAGATGTTTCCTCAAGCTCGGTCTTACTGGGGAAAGTATAGATTAACAAAGGTATTTTTGCCAGTTGAATGTGTGGAGATTTAGGGTAAAAGTTTAGGCGAGTCAAAAGAGTAAAAGAAAAATTATTATTGACAAAGAATAATGAAAAGGAAGATGATGATCATGGAAAGATAGATTAAATAGTTAGAAGAAACACAGAGTTCTTTAGACAAAAGTAAGATAAAGGGAAGACGAGTGTGGTTTACAACAGTGAAGTGTTCATTTCGGTTTACCTGAAAATCCATAATCACTAATAGGGCTTACGCGAGGACATGATCCCCGTAGTTTATATATATATATATATATATATATATATATATATATATATATATATATATATATATATATATATATATATATATATATATATATATATATATATATATATATATATATATATATATATATATATATATATATATATATATGTCGTACCTAGTAGCCAGAACGCACTTCTATGCCTACTATGCAAGGCCCAATTTGCCTAATAAGCCAAGTTTTCATGAATTAATTGTTTTTCGACTACCTAACCTACCTAACCTAACCTAACCTAACTTTTTCGGCTAGCTAACCTAACCTAACCTATAAAGATAAGTTAGGTAGGGTTGGTTAGGTTCGGTCATATATCTACGTTATTTTTAACTCCAATAAAAAAAAATTGAACTCATACGTAATGAAATGGGTAGCTTTATCATTTCATAAGAAAAAAATTAGAGAAAATATATTAATTCAGGAAAACTTGGCTTATTAGGCAAATCGGGCCTTGCATAGTAGGCCGAGAAGTGCGTTCTGGCTACTAGGTACGACATATGTATATATATATATATATATATATATATATATATATATATATATATATATATATATATATATATATATATATATTTATATATTTATACAGTAAGTGCCAGATGACTGAACCAAAGGCATGGAGGAGTGGGGAGAGAAGTAGATACATTTGTATACAAATTATAGGAAAAAATAATGCTATTGAGCATATCGGGATCGGAGTATGTAGGGGCACTGATCGACAGTAAGTAATTAAGAAAACAAATCACTAAGCCCGGAAGGTTATTTTGAGAGGGTGAAGGTATTAGCAATGCACGATTAGTAAATATCAAAGAAGGTTAGAAATAAGATAAAGTACACTAGATAGTTTAAATACCTAACGCTAGGTAATAGTGACCAAGCCCCTGTTATTTTTTCTAGCTGGAGAAGTTGATGAAGCTACGGGTTGTGTTGGAGGACACACGCGTCATTGAGGATGAAAATGGAAAGCCTCCCAGCTCCTCTGTCTCTACGCCTCTAGACACACTGACTCCACATAATCCTTCTTCCGTTGCATCCCTGGCATCTATGGCACTGCCTCTTCAGGTAACAATTTACTATTTGTGTGTTGACCAGACCACACACTAGAAATTGAAGGGACGACGACGTTTCGGTCCGTCCTGGACCATTCTCAAGTCGATTGTGGATGGATATATTATGTTACTCAAAAAGAATGGTCCAGGACGGACCGAAACGTCGTCGTCCCTTCAATTTCTAGTGTGTGGTCTGGTCAACATACTTCAGCCACGTTATTGTGACTCATCGCCTGCTTACTATTTGTGTCTACAATGGGGGTCCTCTACTTGGCCTCCTCTGGTGATGAGCAGTGATGATGGAATCTTTCAGATAGCAACAAAAGAATAAAGAAAAGTGCCATTTATGTCCACCCAAACTCATTCATAGACGTCTGATTTGCGCTTGAAACACTCCAGGTGTCCCGCATCTGTTATGTTACCCGGGATATATTATGTTAGAGCAAAACAATAATACTGTATTTATCTATTATTCCTTACCCAAGTTGATCATTTCAGGAGTCCTAAAGAAAAGTACATCCTCATAGAGGAAAATATGTAGGGAAATTTTATACAAAACTGTAATCAATTTCAGAATGCGAATCGATATTTGTATAGAAGTAGTTGGAGCTCAAATTTGAGCATTCGAGGAAGTAATACTCAAAAAGTAATACAATGAGTAATACTCATTTGCCACGTAAGAATGAATTTGTTACACCCTGTATATGATTTTGAATTTGATTTAACTTCAAAGTTATATAAGATTATCTGATTCACTGTTGCTTAAGGATAAGTTGGATAACCAAATTTAGTTGAAATTGGCAAATGAACCATGTAAATATGATCTAAACATCTCAGTACAGAATTGGTATTCTAGCAAATACCAGTCAAAGAACACGTTGAGCTTATTGTGGTTGCTCACAATGAGGTGGGTTACCATTCACCTGTATAGCTCGGTAGAGCGACAACCGAACCAGGTTGTCGCTCTGACCCAGCTCAATTGCTGGTTCGCATTCGATGCCTTATGGTCGAAATGGTTGGGCACCGTTCCTTCACCTCGTTCACATATCTCAGCTCTTTGTCCTTATATCTTAGTTCCTTGTCCTCTCATCCTAGTTTCTTGTCCTCACATCCCAGCTCATTATCCTTATATCCTAGCACCATGTACTTGTGTCCCAGCTCCTTGTCCTCATATGAATTCCAAGTACTATATAGTCATTCTGCCTTGACTCTCTCGTGACAATTACCTAACAAAGATGCTGACAATTACCTTGACAATTACACAGGTGGTGGACTCGAACTCGACTTCGCTGGTAACCCCTCGTCTGAGGCGAGGCCAAGACTGCCACACCCATAAACGCCATGAGGACGACGCATGCACCTCCACGTCCTGTCTCAATGGCGGTCGCTGCATCAGAACGGACATTGGTAATAGGTAAGATAAGAACTAACTTATCACTCCTTTGAATCAAGCATTTAGCACAATAGACCAGCTATATCAAAGGGTTTAATGTAGTTGATCTCTCATTCATGTTAGAATTAAAGAATTTAAAGATCCGTGCCGTTTGCATTGGTAATCTTATCTTAAATGTTTCAGGGTACAACCAAAATCACCAATGAGTCTAAAATGGCTTGTATTATGTTTCAATGATTTGCAGATTTAGTGGAGATGGCATGTGAGATATATTATAAAGCCATGGAACTTATATATATATATATATATATATATATATATATATATATATATATATATATATATATATATATATATATATATATATATATATATATATATATGCGTGAGGGTAGTGGTAAACTAAGGTACTGAGAGGAATGAGGGCTATGCCAGTATGATTGTATAGCACTTAGAAGATATATGAAGGCCAGGAGCTGGTTATGAGGAATGAGTGAAGGCACTGTGCTCAACCACTTGCACCATCGAGGATCGAACACAGACCCCGCAAGAAATCAGGCCGTCACTGTAGAGGACCTTACCAAGTGGAACGTAATAAAGGTAGAGAGGAAAGGTACTTGGGAAAAAGTCCTAGAAGTGATTGATGTCTTTATATACACTGGGGGATTTATAATTAAAAACAAATTGAGAGTAGATTAGGCAAGTAAAGAACGTAGCTACTGCAATGAAGAATTAGATATTCTTCTAATATATTATTAGATATATAGATATATAGATATGCGGCCAGAGAGCTGCATGAAGGAGTGATGAAGACAACTGTAATGCTGGCGTGAGGTGACCATCACTTGAACGTTGAACAGCAAGAATGTGAGCAGTAGAGGGAGGTAATTTGAGATGCATGCATGATGTTAGAGGGCCAGAGAAAGGAATGATAGCGTCATTGAACGATGTAGAGCTTAAGTTATCACTTGGTCATATTTAACGAACGGATGATTTGTGAAATGTTATAGAGAGAATTTCACTTGAGGAAGAGAAGAGTGGCGTCTTAGATAGTGTATGAGGATACCAGGGAGTGAAACTTTATATATTCAGGAATGATGATGATTTTCCCCATTGGTAGGTGTGTGTGTCCTGGAGGGTCGTGGGGACCGCAGTGTAAGGTACTGGCTCGCAGCTTCTCGGGCTCTGGGTGGGCGTGGGTCCGACCTCTGCCCCCTTGTCTGCCCACCACACTCTCCCTCCGTCTCCTCACTCGCAGCCCTGATGCTCTCCTCTTGTACTCGGGGCCTCTGTCACCCACATCCACCCACCCACTCCACCCTCCCTCACCCATGGTGGCACTGCAGTTGGTAGGTGGGCAACCACAGGCGCTGGTGGAAGGTGCCAGAGGACCACTGAAGCTGCAAGTGAACGCGACTCTGAACACTGGCACGTGGCACACCCTGCATCTCCATCTCAACACTCAGGTATAATCCCCACTTACTATCCATCCCACACATATATGAGGAGAAGAGGAAAGTGACAACGTTTATGTACGTCCTGGACCGAAACATCCTCACTTTCCTGCTCTCTCTTTATATATGTAGGTTGGGCATTAACTTTCAGCTGAGTTATTATGACTTACTCTGCATCTTCACTTACAACTTATTGTTCAAAGTACTCTAGAATCCAAAGAAAACCCTGTTTCTTTCTTATGGTATATTGTAAATAATCAAATTGAAGTTCCGCAATACTGTAATTCATTTCAAATATTAAGTGAAAACAATGTCTTTGGTTAATGTACATGAATCAAAGAACAAGAGGAAACTGCAGCAAGCGTATTGACCAATGCATGTGAATATCCTCACCTCCTCATTTTTTTCACCCCTCATTGGTTTCCCTTCTGCCTATTACAACCACCACTGACTTGTGAAATCCACTGACTCATTTAAAATTCTGAAGATGTATTGATTAATACGACAGTACTTAAGGAATCAGACATTGTCATTCGTTGTCATTCATCATGTGTTCATTTATTCTGGATTTACACACACACACACACACACACACACACACACACACACACACACACACACACACACACACACACACACACACACACACACCCACACCCTTCTTGCAAGTGGGAGATGCTTGTGCTTGAGATCTTGTACTTTTTTGTTTTTCATTTTAACTAACTCTCGTATCATTTTTCATCCCCAGACCTTTTTTTTATCTTTCAGGGTGCCACACTAATGGTGGACCTGTGTGGACACGGGTGGACAGCTGACATGACAACTGATGCCCATTGTGTTACAAGGGCCTCGTGGGTAAATACACAGGTGAAGGATAGTTGGAGCAACAGTGTCCCCATTCAGCTGGGTGGCCTCGCTCACTCATACCCGGACGCAGCGGAGTTTGGCTGGGCAGCTGGAGTAGTGCCTCAGGCTTTAGTTGGCTGTCTCTCTCACCTCACACTCAATGGAGAGGTATAATTATGGTTTCTTAACAATTATTCAAAACATTTTAATTTTATTTCCTTTATTTGACAAGTGACAGGTTTCATGCGTTGCTATATAAATATCAATTATTTATATTTATTAATTTTCTCTTCATCTAGAATAATACAGCAGAGACGTAGAAGACTGTATAAAGGTGTTGATATGTAAATAATATAATTATTTAGTAAGGATTAAGATCACACACAAGATCTCTTATATTTATATGAATATGAACAATGATAAATCAAGACACATACTGTGCGGAAATGTTGACGTGTAGGTGTGTGTGTGTGTCCCTCAGCTGGTGGATGTGGGCGAGCCGGCGTACAGCAGTGGCAGTGGCGGAGGCTGCGTCGCCCAGGACACCGCCTGCAGAGACAGGCTCATCTCCTGTGGCATGCGAGGCTCTTGCATTGGTGGTCTTGCCACGCCTAAATGTGACTGTGAGCCGGGATGGACCGGGCCAGAGTGCTCCAGGCCTACTGTACCAACTGCCTTTGGCCAAGCCTCATTTGTGAAATTAGCGCTGTCTTTTACGCCCGATCCTTATAATCTGGTGGTGCAACTGAGAGTGCGGGCTCGAGGCCACGCCGAGGGCCTCCTTCTACAGGTAGCTGACACCCAACAATTTCACGCCTTAAAACTGTGTGTAAGTTTCTTTTCATTTATCTTCTACGCAAGTAGAGTATAATTAATTGATTTCAACATTATATTCACGCTCAATATATAAAACTGTATATATAATATAACTATAGCTAAGGTATTTTCCTATTTTCCTCTTGTGTTGAGTATAGAGAAGCCAAATATTACAAAATGGTTCACAGGTAAAGTTAGTCCCTGGAAATTAACGAAATAACTATGCTTCTTATAAATAATTTGTGAAAGTATTGTTTTATTTGATTTCATTGGTTTTCATTATTCATTGTATATAATGTTATATAACTATACCATTAATGTTACCTAACATACCCAGTGTATAGTTTCTTAAATAAAATTTTATTAAGAGTTGTCCTGCACCAGCTTAATTTTGACGTGAAAGATAATTAGTGTAGGAAGATTAATAATACATGAAATTTCACTTAATAATTAGTAAGTTCATTAACATAAAATTCCTTTTTCATCGTTGACGCGGCAGGTGCGTGGCGGTGTTGCGTGTGCGTCAGTGTCCGGGCCGGAGTCCACACTGCAGGAGGCGTGTCTGGAGAGCTTCCCGCTGGGGGACGGCTCCTGGCACACACTTCGTGTCAGCCGCCACGGACCTAACCTGATCATCTCGGTGGATGACGGCGATGGCTGGCGCCAGAATGAAACACTGGCCTCCCTCGTGTCCAGCGTCAACCTTGCAGACGTTCACCCGCTTGCTGCTACTCTGCCGCCCGCACCAGTCACTGTTGACAAGCAGGATGGCGTGACCGTGGGAGGCGTGCCCGAGTTCGAGGAGCTCCGCCTGGTAGCAGTCCACGATGATCTCCAAGACAGTAAGCAACGGTCTTCGGTTTACATTGAGGAAAATAGAGTATTTTGATAGCCACAAATTTGAAAGCTGGATTATTGATAGCCACAAATTTGAAAGCTGGATTATTGATTATTGAAGGCTGGGTTAGAAAGCTGATATCCACAAATATATTTAATAGAAAGCTGGATCATTAAATATATTTTGTTTGAAGTCTGGGTTTTTAGAGCTGGGTTGTTTTAGTAATGTATATGCACAAATTATAAACACAAATTTAGATTATAAATACATAATTAGTCATTTGTATATAGAATGAATGAAACATTTGGGATCGTGTATACAAGATGTTCAAACATTTTGAGGTGTCAAACGTTTAATGAAATAATGTGCTCTTTGAAAATGTTGTTGATTTTAATATAGAATATAAAAACTAAATACACTGATGACTCACTAAGGTATGCATAATGGATTAACAAAACACGATATTCATATCTGGGATTTCTTTCTCATAAAAAATATGACAAATGTGACTGAGGTTCCTTCAATAATGGATAACTTTGTTAATTTACGTTTCAACTGCATTTGTGATAATTTTATGATTAATTAATCATAAGCTAATATTAAGAGGTGAGGCTGAAAAAATATATTGTCAGAAACGAGCATCAGAGCGAATTATGGCACGATAAAGAAAGTGCTTAATATAGTAAGCGAAGGGATGGAACTGAAATGAACGCAAATGCTGAAAATCTCAAGTAGTCTGACTGGCATAACGCACTCTTTTTTTTTATGAGAGTATTACAAATTAAGGTATGGAAGGTAGAGGTTAGCCGAAACATCATTTTCCATTGCACTTGGTTAAACTTTAACACCTTTATATGCGTTGTTTATTGACGAGAAGGCACTACTGACAAGCACATGAAGGAGAAGATATTAAGACTTACTTTGAAACATAGACTTTACTTTAAAATAGCAGTTTTTTCTACAGACAAAAAGTTTTGAATTTGTATACAAACATACGCAGATAATTGTTTATTAATTTCTGCAGGTTGTGTAGATGATGTGAGAGTGTGTGGTGAGGCAGTGCCACTACCGCCCGCTGTCAACAACACACTATGGGGTCAGGTTACCACTCTACAGAACGTCGAACAAGGTTGTTCAGCCCCGGATTCTTGCATCAATACCACATGTTTACCACCCTTGACGTGCCATGACTCCTGGAGACATGCAACCTGTAGGTGAGGCTGCAACCTTATTGTAGAGATAAGATGTTAGGAAATCGAGACAAGCAGGGTACTAAGGAATTGTTATAGAAGAGAGTAAGGAATTGATATAGAAGCAAGAGAGGAAGAAAATGATGTTGAAGGGAGTAAGGAATGGATATAGAAGCAAGGGAGTAAGGAACTGATATAGGGGGCAAGAGAGTAAGAAATGGACATAGAAGCAAGGAAGTAAGGCATAGATATAGAAACAAGGTAGTGAGGATTGTATATAGAAGCAAGAGAGTAAGGAATTGAATAGAAGGAAGAGAATACTAAATTTATGATGAGAAACGCAAAGTTAAGAGTAGAGTTTTAGGAAATATTTCGTCTGTGAAGGCTTCCTCAGATTTGATAAACCAGACCCATAGGTTGGTCATTTGAGAGGCTTCTGCTGTGGGGGTTTGATGAATAAATTATTCAATTACATTGCCGCCATGGGTATATGAGCGTTGTTCATGCAGCAAATTTCAGGTGTCCAGATTCTTAATATCAAATTACTCTTAGGACTGGATTTTTAAATAAATTATATGTATACTGTTATACAGTAATTAGTTTAGTTGCACATAGAAACTAGAGAGTAGAGAGGACGAGTCTTGACACAGGTATAGAATGACTGAAAGAATCGAAGATTACTCCAGGAATTCACACTAACGTGATATATCAATGTAAAAACCAATTGGAGCAATGGAAGGATTCGTGCGGGTGTGAAATACCCAGATCGCTGGTCCGAATCCCCCACTCTGCTCTAATTGATTTTCTCAATGGAAGAAGAATACTGAATTGGCAATGTGGAGGCGGCCAGACTGGTGCAGTTCGTTAAGGGGCTCCGTAATATGACAATGGCCAAGGAAAAGAAAAATAAGTGTGGAAAAATCTACCTATTTAACTTCCATTGTTGATTTATTTATGATGGTGGCCCTAAGGCTTTGGTATTTGGCAATATGTTTACTTTGCTCTTTTCAGTTCTTTGATTTTGGTTTTGTTTTTATGTATGAGTAATTCAGAACCAGGTAAATATCAAGTGATTTTTTTTTTAGTTGTGGAGTCTATTGTTATTTACCTAGCGGGACATTAGAGTATTATAAACAAGTATTTACTGAAATATCATTGCATATTAAAATAACGTTTTTACTTTCGTATATAGAGGTATACTTTGTATCTGTACAGTATTTTGTTATATTGAACATGGATGATGGTTAAATGATAATACAATGTTACTAAAGCGTTTTTGTTATTAATGATAATTTTTGTTACATATTGTGCATCTCGAGAACAAGTTAGATATATATGTATACCGCATCTTTATTTATGTTATAACCATTTCATGACAATAACAAAGAATTTAATGTATCAATATTTCTTAGCTTTCAATGTTGTGACTTATATATAATTTGCGGTACTTAAAACCCGGAAGGAAAATACTAAGACTTACTGTCCGGTAACTATTTAACCTCCTTTTTGCAGCTGTGAGTCAGGTGAGCAGGTGGTGGGGCACAGCTGCCAGGATGTTGACGAGTGCGTGTTCCAGCCGTGTCTCCACGGGGGCACCTGCTACAACCTCACACCTGGCTACCACTGTTTGTGTGCTCCAGCCCACATTGGAGACAACTGTGAATGGTCCAAGTTGCCACCAGACTCCCACCCTCTCACAGCTCCCATGGCCATAGCTGCCCTTACACTCTCTGTGCTTATTGTTGGTGAGTGCTCGTGAAAAAATACCACTGATTGTTGTGATATAATATAATCTTTAGAATAGATACCATATGTTTTAGTTTGTATTAGCAGATGTCTCTCTCAGTGGAATGTTTTCGAGAATATTTCTTATATTGGAATGATAATTAGATATGCTGTTTACATGCAGGATCCATCTGATTTCAGCGTGGTAAAAATATAAACACTTATTCAACTGAATCCTTATTTTCATCTGAAATTTTGAAGTCTCGTATTTCATTACTCCTACCCATACATAGTGACACATTCCATATAATATTTCGGTTCTAAATGGTTCTCTATATCATAAAATTACGTGTTAGTTTAATTGTTGCAATGGGGGCCCATGGTATTACCGAAATCCTATTTTTTGTTTGTTTCAACAGTTGTAATTGGCATTTTGTTGAACCTTCGCCTTCACCGGTCTCGCGCAACGCGAGGCGTGAGCCTACGCACCGCTGGGGTGGAAGGAGTGACGAGCGTGGCAGAAACTCCGGTTGAAGTCCAGACAGTAACTAGTAATCAATGCAGCCCTAGTTGTAAGGAAGAAAATGTCTTTCTTGATTCACTCAAGATTAAACTACCTAACAAACAAATTCTTCAGTCCCCTAAAGGTGAATGTTACCTCTGGATTTGAGAAAGACAGGAAGTTATGAATGTACGATTCAGTAAAAAATGTTCTCTTTCTGTCTAATAACATTGTTTTTTCTTTGAAATTAATGTAAATAAATGGTTAATGTCTGTCCATTATAGTAAACCCTTTTCTATCAACATTGTGTAGTGATTCCTTTGTATGGGAAAATAGCCTTCATTTTTTAGAGGTGGCTTCTTTCAGAACATAAATCATTTAGTTCATATTATTTTAAGCATTAGAGTAGTTTTCAGCATTAGTTCTGGGATTCCCACACGCTGGTTTGGGACTTACACAAATATATAAACGAATCACATTTCTTGTTTGTGTTGAAAGGCAAGAACCTGTGACAAACAAAAAAAACGTGAATTGCCTCAAAACATACATAAAAAACAGTAGACACAAGGAAGGAATTAGAAAGACGTGTAATAAGAAAACAGCTCTCATTTATAATTGTATATTAGGAAGATGGAGGAGCAGCAGATCATTACCAAGTGGTGCAGTATACCTCGGAAGAAACTTAATCACTGATGTGGTATTGTTCAGAGCTTTAATATTGATAGAGGGTCCATCAGTTCTTCGTTTATTTTTAAAGAAGGGTTGATATTATCAAATAATATTTGTACTTAGGTCAGTGTACAGCTTTAGGGCTCGGTTAATGAATTTGTCTAATTCCACTGTAATTGTGAAAATGAATAATATGTAATTGGGAAGTACATAAGATGTAATTCTGTAAAGTGCTATGTTTATTTTTGGACATAACAATACTGTATTATGATATTACAATAAAATAATATTATTTTATTGTACTCGGTTCATGAATTAGACAAGTTCATGAACCGAGCCCCTAAAGCTGTAAACTGAGCTAAGTACAAATTAACCAGTCAAACACAATCGACAAAGTGCTCTCGTACTCAGTAGCAAAACAGTATTTGCATTCGCTATTGGTAAGACAACTTCTGTTGTATTTGTGAGATAGTTTTCACTTAATTTTTGGGGGGCCAATGTTATTGTTTTCATTTATACTGTATGTTGGCTGCCCTTTAAAGAACACCCTGGTGTTATACTCATGACATTCGAAGGTTGCCTTTGTTCTGCAGGTATTCATTTTGTTACACTTCTCACAGAGTTGTCCAAGTTACCTTCAATTATATTTGATTTCTATTGTTTCAACTTATTTATAGGATTATTGAGTTATTTATGCCACTAGTAACAAACCAATATAATCCACTGGTAACAATACCACCATTATCCACTAGTGTCAGTATCCCATAATGTACCAGTAACAGGACCACTGTAATCATTGGTAACCTTTGTTTACAGGCACAAAGCATCTGGTCACTCCCATTGGACCTCTATCAGTTGCTAGTGAGGGCAGAAAAGTCAGCTTAATGGTAAAAGGAAGCACAATGAAGGCTTCTAGTTGCGACGTTATAACGTGTAAGGAGAATGCCAACTCTCGTAGAGGTTCTATAGCAGCCGTGACTACTACTATGATGGATGTTGTCCTTGAGCACAGATCGAGCATTCCACAAACAGTGTGTTCCGAGACACATTGTAAAGCAGGGTGTTCTACTGCACTGTGCCCATTTACATATCCTGCACATGGTGCATCAAGTGGCTTGTGTCAAGTCGTGACCAGCGGTGATACGGGCGCTGTCCAACCTTTACTAGCACAAGATGACCTCAGAGCCTATGCTTATGAAGGAGATGGCTCATCATCAGGCTCACTTTCATCTACTGTGTTAGGTCAGTGTGATCAATGTTAAATGGAATTGTTTTATTTCAGTGTTTCATGGCCATGTTAAAGTAACATTTGTTACAAGAGTAGATAAATCAAACATTACACAATAATTAATGCAGAGCACACTGTGAAATAGTGAAAGACTCTTAGAGCGAAGGTCACGGACTTAGTATAAGGGGAAACAACATTTTTTGCCTGTCATTTGTATAATATCTATTTTTACAATGTTACAATTCTAATGTAATTTTGAAGGTGTTGGTGAATTCTAGTATAATCTCTGGTAAGATGCCGGAGGAGGGTGGGAGGGAGTGAGAAAATGGGGGGTTCGGGAAGAGAAATGAGATAATTGATAAAAACAAAAGAAATGTAGAGATATAAGAAAAAGATGGAGACTGATCCCTTCTACACACTATTTCCAATTCTCAACATTCTACACTTTGTTAAGACTTTATATAATTATAGTTATGTTATACTTTATGTTATATGTTATAATGTTATACTTTATATAATTATAGGTAATTACCTACACAATTAATCCTAGACAATTACTTACAAAATTCGTAGAATGTGCTCGCTAAATGCTTTTACTCCTCTCAGGGTTGCAAACAGAGTTACTGGATGATGACAGCCCCGAGCCACTTGTACCTGAGTATGGGGAGGTATTCGACCTTCTCAAAAGCCTTCCAGATGCTCTGAATTCCTCAAGCCTAACCAGTGTTACTGATATTCCCAGTCTGGATGTAGTCTCCAAGAGCCCCAAGGTAAAACATGGAGCAAATATAACATGATAGGAAAAAAAAGGTGTCATTTCCGAAAACCGAGACAATATTGCACATTTGCAATATAAGACATGGATTAAGAAGCACTCTGCAGTTGCCAAGTGATCGTGTGATACTATTTTTCAACCTGCAAACTTGCTTAATTGGAAATGTTAAATATTGCACGTAAGATATTTGTATGATCATTTTTGGTCAGTTACGATTTGCAACTTGTAAGGAAATATATACATAAAAGGTTAGATCATCAGCTGACAATAATTTAAGTGACAGATCTAGTGCACAAAAGACTTTATTAAACTGGATGAAAAGGATGCCTCAGCTATTCTTTATCTTATTAGTTGTATTTTTCTCCATTTTTTTTAATTATTTAAAATTATTCAATATTGTGTTCTTAATATATGACTGGTGAGAAACTGAAGTATTTAAATAAATTACACTGAAGAGGGAATCAGAGGTGTTTATACATTTATATCAACAGTAAATTGTACAATATAAAGTGTCTTATTATCCAAGCAGAACCTAGTTATACTGTATGGGTGGATATTATATAGATATATGAAAGGATGAAGAGGTATCTCAAGAGATTAATGTACTGTATGTATTTTTCGTATTTATACACAAATGTTTGCCATAGAATTAAATTTTATTAATTTTAGATGCGGGATTTGTGTTTTTTACGTGTAATTACACAAAATACCATCACAATCTTTGACAAAAATACTGCCCATCTACTCATGCCAAGCTAGGAAATATTGGAAAGAAATATTTTCTTGTTTACAAAATAATATTAGCTATTACGATCATAATGATAAAGCGATCACACTTTATTACCTAAACATTCTCATTCAGGTTATATACATAAAATACATATAGAAATTCTATGTATTACTACATAAGCCTTCTCCCCCTTAATACAAACGTATTGAGGATATGTAACCTATATTTTTTCTGCATAGAAGGAAAATTAAAAAAAAAGGAAGTAAAGGGAAAATGGCTTATTGGCCTTTGTGAGGTCTATTTACATGCAAACAAATTTGCTCATATACGTCTACCATAGGCTTGAAATAAATTCAGTGATGATGCGTCTATTATATTTCTCAATAATCTGCTTCATTAATCAATAATCCTACTTTTCAACCCATTATTTACCCAGATGTTTAACACATCTAATTTCATCAAATTTATGTATTGTTTCGTATTATATTTTGTGCTGATATATTAAGGATCATATCAATTCCCCATTTGCTGTACTCTAGCAATTTGTATCTGATATCACTGATATCACCCCCTAACTCTATCTATCTAGGGAATTTAAATTAAGCTTTCTAAATCATTTATTCATTGTATGCTCATATCCTAGCAACCGCAGTAATATACCATTCAGTAAGTATACTTTAATTCTGAACATATTCCAGGACTGTAAACTCTCAGAGTATATACACCGAGAAAAGTGTTGCACCTTTCGGTTTACATACACTTAAAACCGAGCATTATTGTTACGAAGTTTCCCATTTTCTGATGTGTTTTAGGGAAAGTGGGAAAGGCGTAATCGAGTGTAATGGATATAAATTTATTGTTGGAAAGAAGGTTATAAATATTAGAAATAATTCAGTATATAAATATTTGTAAATAATAACTTTTGATAAATTCAACAATTATAAATACATAAGAGATAAATAAGTTAAATCAGTTGGTGTTCCCGAATCCAATTGTGAGGCTGATGCCATCTCGCGTTCCCTTCACCAAACTTTGTTGGTTGACAACTTATCCGAATAGAACAAAATAAATAAGTACGATTGCTTACAGTTTTTATCACGATAAATTCCAATTAATTGAATTTTGAAGATTAGAAAACTCATTTTTTTATATATATATACGTTAAAAAGCGGGGCTGGCGACAGAGGTGAAAATAAGGTCCAGCGGCCAGATTCACGAAAGCACTTACGCAAATACTTACGAACGTGTACATCTTTCCTCAATCTTTGACGGCTTTGGTTACATTTATTAAACAGTTTACAAGCATGAAAACTTCTCAATCAACTGTTGTTATTGTTATAAACAGCCCCCTGGTGCTTCGGAGCTCATTACTTGTTTAATAATTGTAAACAAAGCCGCCAAAGATTGAGAAAAGATGTACAGGTTCGTAAGTGCTTGCGTAAGAACTTTCGTGAATCTGGCCCCAGGATGTCTCTCTCCCGGCAGACGGCAACATGGCGGCCTCAGAGTCAACACGGGTTGAGTACTGCTGTCGATTCCACTGATTCTAAAGCCGTGCTCGCGGTTAGTATACAAATTGATTTGTGCCATTTTTGATGTTACAAGCGCTAGACGTGCCAGATATAATAAAACAGCGCTTTATTAACTTAATTACGTCATAAGGACAGCGTTAAGGAGAAGGTGCGTGACTCCTCACAGAACAAGACGTCTTCTCCCGCGAGTGAGAAGTAAATCAAGAACCGTGTCCAGATGGCGTTATTACAGGTGAGTCAAATTGTTGTGATGTGTGTGTGTGTAGACTGTGGTTTACTTTGAGGCAAGTACGGCAGAGTATCGTGATGGGTCATTACAGACCGACTCATTGTGTATTAGGGGATGACGGGAACTGTGTAAGGCTTGATGAAGGACATTGTCTCGCTCGTCGTAGGCAAGGAGGAACAATATCACGTCGTTTTAGAATAACTGAGTAAGACTTGAGCCGGAAGTAGTGTTACTCAGCAAAGTCTTACTTACTTTGTTACTGCAAAACATTATAATCCGTCGTTTGAGTTTTGGCAATACTACAGGACTGCCAGCCAGGAGAGCCCCTACTCAAATTCAGAAACTTTATTGATACATGTCTGTTTAGTACAATTACAGTTGGGTTAGTTTACAGGAGTTTACAGTGAATTATATAACTAAGAAAAAATCGCAGTGGCAACATTAGCATGAATAACTGACGATATAATAACATTTTAAAGCACTAATATTAAGAAATCATTCGGTGAATTTACACAAAATATTTTCACACCCTTAGCACTCTCAATCCAACCTGTCCCTTGAACGTACAGTCCCGTTTTCTGTTTTGGGTCCTCTGGTAGATTAGGAAACGACACTTTAATTAGATCGTTTTCTTGACGTTGGAAAACCTTAGGAGGACGGGCTGCTTAATCAATAGATTCTAGGACTTTCCCTACTCGCTCCTTACCTAACTATGCCACACTTCAGGTTCCACAAATTAACGGTTAACAAAAATAAATGATTAAGAAGATTTATTTGTGCAGAAAACGGGTATAACATTAAGCTTGATTACATTAGCCTTTACTAACACGAGAGAAAGAAATGGGCATCTTTAATGACTAACTTGCCCTGTCAGAAATCCTTATATTCATTTGGATAGGAACCGAAAATACGGAACTTTCTTAACCTGTGTGTGCTTTGCCCGTTCTAAATTGAGTCGGCCATAAATTTCCTCAGTTAACACTGATTCATATCCTGAAGTACAATAATTTAATACAATTTAAATGTAAACAAGGTTAGCACTACTGTATCTTGCTTCATTTCAAGAACCTTTTAAGTTAAATATTTTAGCCTATTGTCAATGTAAAGATAAACATTTTATTAGGCAAAATTACATACATATATGTATATACATACTGTACATACAAACATAGGACAAGGAGATTGATGGCATCATAGATAGGCAGGTACATAGCCTACAGCCATTAATACACACAGAGCTGTAGCCTTTTGCAGCCTCTCATTTTATTGGTTTGGGGATCCATAATATGCAAATTAGGATATTTGCTAAAGAGCCCCATTGGGCCTAACTTGTAGGTTAAATATTATTCTGTATATAATAGGTTAAATTAAGGGAAGTTGGTTAGTGATGTGAACTATGAGGAGTCTGGTTGCTTTGCGAAGTTATGATCTAAACCCGTAGATCATAACGTTGCAAGGTACAGTTGGTTGTGAAAGTACATATGTTGGTGATAAAGTAGAACATGCTTGCAAAGCCAATAACATGCATATTTAACCTTTCGGCCGCATTAAAGAAAATATGGCGAAATTTCCTTGTTTAGGGAAATAAAGTTATTTCATAGTTTTCCATCAAAGGTCACGAATTCAAAAATGTGTTGTCTAAAGTGTAGCAAGTTATGACAGTTCAATTGTTAATTTATGCATTGAATTGTTTTTATACAATTCCGAATATTTCTTTAATGTTTTAATGATGAACTTGCCAGCATAATATATTACTGAGAGGCACCAAGTGTCTCTGAGGCAATGGGGGATATATATATATATATATATATATATATATATATATATATATATATATATATATATATATATATATATATATAATATATATAGCGCCTAGTCAATCCTTCCTGGCCAGGATACGAACCCAGGCCAAAGAGCTTGCGAAGCGCCGGACGAGTGTTTTACCACTGCGCTACGGGGATTGCTCTACTGTTACTAAATGAAAAGTAGGCTAACTCCCATTCAAGAAATTTTGGAAACGATGTACAGTATAAAGGTGATACTTAAAGGTAGGCATAGACTACTACGTTATAGAATACGTAGTTTAGCAACGGTGTAAATATAGTATTTAGCAGTAACAAAAATATACGAAGGTGCATATTTAGTCAAGCCGATTGTTTGAAATGCGCCGCGTTGCTATTAGAGATCACTATTATATTTCAAGCCCCTTTAATTTAATCTTTGGTCGACGTCCGGCTTGCTGGCTGTGCTTGTAAGGTTTATGTTTACATGTGAGTAGACAACAGATCTGGCCACGTATCTACAAACAAGGTTTAGTTTGGTCACTGACGCAGTGCACCTGGTGTCGCTCTTCAAAGAAAACCTTAACCTGTGTGGATCAGTAACTAAGATATTTTGCGCTGTATTTCCTTTTGGTCAGTGATGGTGTTTGTGTTTTCTTTATAGAAACCGTTAAGGGTTTGTTAATTTTTTTTTCAAGATTTAAGAACTGTTCATACCATGGTTTTTACATGCAATTTGTTTTCAAATGTGTTTTTAAAGTGATTTTGTTTTCCAGTTGTGTAAAATCATTTTATTTGTGTACATCTTATTTAATTTTAAGTAACGTTAATTTATGGAAAATAATTTAAAGTACAGTACAAATGTTGGTGATTGAAAGGTACATTCTTGCAAAGCAAGCATAATGTTTCGTTTCGGGGAGGGTTGTTAGTCTTATGATCCTCAATCGTTCCTGGTTTATAAAAGTCACAATCGTCTAGAGAATGGTCCAGGACGGACCGAAACGTCGTCGTCCCTTCATTTTCTAGTGTATGTAGTGGTCAACATACTTCAGCCACGTTATTGTGACTCATCGCCTGCAAGTCGACTTAGTTCTGGTATGATTTTGTTGTGTCCCACATGCAAAGTCTTGCATATTTCGGTATTAAAAAGCATTTGTCCGGTTTCTGACAATTTGTGGAGTTCATATAGCTCTCTTTGTAAGGTCTCAAAATTATTTTCGCTTCCTACCG